CTCGGCATTAAGGGGCTAAAACAAAGACTGGTCGGCTCGGAGTCGGTATACTTTGTCTGAGTGGGGTATCCATGTTAAACTGTGGCATGGTATCTCAGTGAGCTAGCACTATAAATCGGCATCAGTCCGGACTAGTACAAGCAACCACACACGTACATGCACGTCGCTATATAAGTGCAATAATCTTGGACGCGACGTTAAACCCAATTTCACCTCACCTAACCACCTGCATTTTGCTATAGTTAATCTGTCCTGGCACTGTGTGTGTAACCAGCAAGTAGTGACTGGGATCAAAACACATCCCCTTTGAGAGTCAAATGCAGCTTTAGGTGGAGATATATGTTCTGTATCTTGCTATGCCATGGCAATATAGAAGAAAGTCAGATACTAGCATAAACATGACGGTGACCACACAAAACGGCAAACCACACAGGTCATAATGTCTAATTCTACAAAACGGTTCGATTATGTGCAGTTACTCTTGACCACCGTTCGAGATCCCAGAAGGGTCGGAGGTTTCATTGTAAACTATATCGACAGGGTAGAATGCGAGTCATTTACAGAACACGAACACCACATATAACCTTTTCAACAACACGTAAAGTGAGTGGGTAAGTTTAACACCGTTTTGAACACTATTTCAGTTATATCACGGCGTTTCGTTGATGGAGCCTAAAGGTATGGATGTTGCGTTTTGCAATATTGGTGAAACTAACGAGCAGGGGTACTGACATACCCTGAATCAAAATCGGTGATTCGAACCCACGATCGATGTAAGGATTCTTGCCTTTCGACAGGGTCATCCTAGTCCCTGACACGTAAAACAATACCGGGATGTGAGGATATTATCTCGTGATAGGAATATATCCACTATCCATAGCAAATGTGTACTCAGTGCTTATTGATATAACATAATCTTTTGAAATATGTTTCGCTTATTGATATAGAAATATGTTCTTGAATATAGCTATGAGTCCTTGATATCCTTTAAACATTACTGTTTGTGGTCATGGATACGTCTGGAAATAATCTTAAAAATAACAAAGCTAGAATGGCACTTCCGTCAGGAACAAACATATTTTCATCATACTCGATCTATTCATATCAGTTTTATAACTTGTGTGTTTCATTGATGTTTATTTTGAAAAGTAGAAAATGTATATTCCTTTATTATTTGTAAACTGTGCAAGTATTACATCACCACTTAATAGTAATCATAGTTAATCGTTATCTGAAAAGGTTGCGTATTTAAAAAAGTGGGTGAGATTTCTTTTTCACATGTGCTTTTTCCTCAATTAACATGTGATTTACTTACCATTTCAGTGGTTTGGGGGTGAATTGTTTCTGTTGTTGCCACGGGAGACTGTCCAGGGCCGCAATAGTTCAGCTTTATTACAACGGCCTGTTAATCTAATCTGGACCAGGAAAACAAGTGGCTGAAAGAATTAGCAACGTCCGACTTCGTCCGGGCCAGAGGACACGTAATCAGCAAATCTGTCGAATCTGACCATCTAATCCATTTAAGTCGCCACTTAAACAAACCTATCCTAACCTGGTTCTCCCAGGGGAGCTTGCTTATCCATATTCCGAGACTTTCACACGATCCAGCGACGTCCACTTAACAGAAATGCATTAAATTGAGACAGGGTCTTCATTTCTTTAATCGTTCAACTACAAAATGTCCTAACCAACCTCATAACGAGATAACGCTCAGCCACAATGTCTGGTCTCGTTCTGTTCGTGCAATCTAAATGTAAAATACTAGAAATATAGAAACAGTTCAAATCTGAATTTATCCGTCCCCTCCTGGAATGAATCTGAGCGCACATAAACGTTAACATGTACAGCTTGTTCCTTTCATTTGACAGTTTCTGACTGTACATTAGAATAACATTCTTTCCTATATAGTCAAACAGAGTATATGTCCGAAAAGACTATATTAAACAATAGCACAAGACTCTACTGCCTTGAGCTGACAAATCCTATTTCTCCGAGTTCTGCTTCTACTAGAGCAGCAGATGTTGCATCCCTTCAGCTACATGTACTATTCACGTGTACTACTTAATCCTTCTGATAGTAACTACCAGGGTGCCGTTGTACAAAACAACATTAGCGCTACGACTGTTGTAAGTCTATGTTAAGTTATGGGAGTTACGATCCTCTTAGCGATAAGATCGCTTTGTACAATCGCACAACTGGTACTTCTTAAACTATTTCATCATTAATAGTACCAGTCTACTACTACTACTACTACTACTACTACTACTGCTGCTGCTGCTGCTGCTGCTACTACTACTACTACTATTGCTGCTGCTACTACTACTGATGTTACGGCTGCATCTGTTGATAATGCTTCTTGTAAGTAAATGATAGATCTATTACTATTGATGTTGCGGCCATGACCAATGTCTGTTCACATTTATGCGATTACTACTACCACTCCCACTCCAATTACTACTACTGCTACTACAACTATTACTAGTGCTGCTGCTACTACTACTACTACTACTACTACTACTACTACTACTACTACTACTACTGCTGCTACTACTATTGCTGCTGCTACTACTACTGATGTTAACATGTCAACATGAAAATCTCCCTCCGACCTTGTTCACAAACTCCCCGCTCGATACCCATCCACCTTGAGCTGTTCCAGTTCTTTCATCTTTCATTATTGTGAATCTCAACGTTAATAGATTTCATGTTTAAGATGGTTCCTTGCGCTGAGGGGTTCCTTTTACAATAAAAAATTCTTTGACACGGTCCTTCAATTAGGATGGCTTCGAACCATATACCACTGCTATGGACATGTCGAGTGTTGCCAAATGTGTTGAACACAGGGTTATGATGAGAATGAGGGGTTTCCTACGCCCACAGAAGTCCACGTGAACGATATATGTAAACGGACGTCTCCGTTCTGCAACCGATGCAAAACATATCGTCCAACGAGTGAGTGAGTGAGAGAGTTGGGTTTAACGCCGCTTTTAACAGAATTCCAGTTATATCGCGGCGTGTCAGCTTAATGTGAGAGAAAAGCCCGAAGTGATGCAGGTCTCAGACGTTTACCACTTCGGTGAAACCCATGAGCATGGGGAAGGGTGCTGACAAACCTAGCAACATAATCGGTGCGAACCGGGATTCGAACCCACAGTCATAGGTTTCTGGCGTGCCCAAGGGGCGCAACTCTGCACAGCGAATCGCGGCGCGTTAGACGACTCGGCCACCCGTGCCCCCTCGTCCAAAGATCATGTGTGCATCAAAAATACCAACAGGCAACCATTAGTACATTGTCCTTTCCAAATTTAAACGTACGAGCACAAGATATAGACATGCTAAAAATAAGGCTGACAAAGTACTTCTGCACGGGTGACCCAGTCATCTGAGGCGCCGCAATTCACTGTGCGGGGTTTAGTCCATTAGACGTGCCAGAAACCCATGATCGTGGGTTCGAATCTCATATTCACCCTGTATATGATTCTAGGTATGTCAGCACCATACACGTGCTGGTGGATGATTTTACCAAAGTGGTATACCTCTCAGACCTGCCTCACTTCTTGCTTTCCTCCCACATCAAGCTGACAAGCCGTTATATAACTGAAATACTGTTCAAAGCAGCGTTAACCTTAATTCACTCACACATCGTAATTTTAAACTGTTTCTGTTTCCTGCGAACAGAGTGCAATGTTTAAATATACACGTTGTTATTGGGAGGTCTTTATGTGTTGTATCTCATTGAGCCTCTTTATTCAGGTTTGGCACGACGCATCTACCGTGAAATTTTCCGTTTCCATGAGACAGCTTAAATCCTCTTTGAAATAAGCTCCCTGAGCCATATACACCTCACTTACACCATTACCGACGCTTTTTTGCTAAAGGAGGTCATGGAGCCCCGGGTCGTAGAAATAAACATGTAGGTCATGCAGTGTCAACAAGACAACAAAAGCAACAATATAAAACGTGAAGGGATGACCTACAAATGTCACAGACGAGCTGTTGTTGTGTACATCTGATATACCTTTGTTTGCCTTGACCTCTATATGGGTCAGATGCACTTAAAGGATATTGACTCATTTTGATGACTGGAGAGAAGCCTTGAATGTGTTGTCTTCAGATAGAGAAGCCATATGTTCCAGTATTAGAACTCTCTCTTTCCTTGAACGCGAGCAACAAATCTACTATGTACACGTCTCTGTTGGCTCACGCCTTGTTTAAGTTTCTTTGGTCTTAAGGATTCAAATGATAAAATATTTGACGAAAAACTACACTGTTTACATTATATAAGTGTTATCTCTCCCTTTTCTTGAACACAAACAACACATCTACCAGATGGTCGTCACTGTTGGCTCCCGACATGTTTAATTTTCATTTTATTGGATGTTTCAAATGATAAAATATGTGACTCAATATTTTACTGAAAGGTGAAAAAATATATAAAGTTTCCCTGTCATAGTAAACGGTTGATTTTCTGGAGTGTTATCTGTCGGCACCAACCGAAACTGATCGAATCCAATGATGTCATCAAACAATGAATATGCCAGCATATGGCTCCGTAAATGTTTCTGTCAAATGGAAATCAACTTAATAAATAATCAATACGACAGGGATGTAAATACGCACAATCATTCAATTTGTGTTCAACAGTCGACCTCAGTAAATCGTTGTATTTTGTCCATTGAAAGTCAAGAATATAACTTTAATCTCTTTGTCTACAATGAATGTTTTTTAAATTATTGAATTCAATATGGGTTTTTTTCGTTTAAGGGGGTATAAACGCAAAACATCCCGAAGGCAATTCTTACACCAAAAATATAAGTAAAGGTTATAACTTTACACATCAAAAACATTATAGACAACAATACCACACCAATGACATCGTTCAGGGCAATAATGCCACCAAAACCCCACAAACCTTGCTGTCAGCCACAACAGTACTCCGCTAATGGTCGTGGCCTAATATATGTATTTCGCTTGAGAACGCAAAATAAATTTGATGGATGAATAAAAGCTGTGAATTCACCTGCAGTTTATTTCTTATGAAATCAACGGATGGACACAGCGGGATTTCAACTGATAGTCATAATTTTTCCTTCTCTGTAGTGTCTCAGACCCGGAAGAAAAACAAAAACATATAATTGATAACACCAATGATATTGACATAATAACGACTGCTATCAAATCGATTATAGACCTTTTAACTGAAATAACTACCATAGTTCTTCTACCACAGATACTGCCGGAACTAGAGCGACTGGTACATCGATGTATATGCATTGAAATACAGATTATACAACAGTTGCGAGTGTCAAGTGTCATCCAATTATTGAACCCGAATGACAGGAGAAGGTGATGTCCTTGGTTGTATGAGGATCAATACGGAAGTCGCCTTGATTTGGATTACTAATACAGTGACCACCGACCTTAAAGTTCACAAACTGCCAATTTGTTATACGTCCGCCAATGGAAGTTCCAGCAATTTCATTATGAAGAGGGTCATTCGTTGGCTGAGATTCCACAGACATATTGATGACTTTTATGTTCGAGATGGTCCCTTTCGCCGCAGGATTCATAACGAAATGGACAACCCTGGGGCACGATCCTTCAACCCGTATGTCTTCGAAGAGCATGTCACTGATGTCAAAATGACGTGTATTACCGAATGTGTCAAGTACAGCATCATTCGAACTGAAGTGAGTACATGGGTCTTTAAACTTGCAATAGTCGACGTGGATGACGTCCATGTTGCTGATGCTGACGTTGCGGACGTATGCTGTCGTCCACCCTGTCTGAAATACGCCCCCGTTCTGCATCTGCCACAGTACGCACCGTCTCACGGTCATATGACTCTTGTGCATCTGAAAATAGCAAAACACGATAATTGAATTTCCAACAAGTTATACATGTTACCGCTACCCAATCCACAACAAAACAGTTTTCCTAAAAAATGCGCTTCTTGCAACATGGTCATCCTTTCTGCTTAATGTTTCTATTCTGACATTAAACAAAAGCGTCCAAACCGTTTCCATATTCCTAAAAACTCTCTGCTAAAAACTTAAATATATACATGATCTACGGTTTAATATAAACAGTATACTCAGTTTTATAATGTTTAAATTTAAAGAAAAAAGGTTTTCTCAGAATTATACAGACTGCAAACTACGTTATGATACTTTTACGAGAAGAATCAATAGTTTGATTACCTTAATGTTGGCGTCATCAGCTATTATGAAGCTGTCCTCTACCAATCCTCGATCCCCGATCCCGATTCCGTCGGAGTTCCCCATCCACGCCGCTACAAGACGAGCATTGCGGACAACGTTGTCGTCCCCGTTGCTCAGGTAGAAGAACGTAGAAGGGTCAGCAATTGTCACACCGTCAAATATATTGTTTGATGATCCTTTAAAATCGATTGCTGATTGACCAATGCTGTCATCATGCCGAACAAAATTTTCGTTAGAAACAATACCTCGACCGTGGAATTTCACTCGCCCATGAGGAAGCTGAAATCCCCCTCTGATGTACGCTCCCGGGGCGATGTATACCTCCCTTATATCCTTATCAACCACTATTTCCTTGTGAAGGTCGTGGATTCCCGGGCCGTAGTACAGAACATTTCTGTCGTGCGGTGAGGGGACACTTCCTTCAGGTGGGTCAGCAAAGACAAAGAGTTTGTCGACGATGTCCGAGACACCGAGACCGTAATCGTAGTCAAACTCCACGGACATCATACGTGTGTTGTGCGAGACGGTGAAAGTTGCTGTTTTGATTCCCGTTCTCCTACACTTGTAACCATAGCTAGAAGGTTTGACGAGACACTTGTGGAAGTCTTTGGGAGCGTGGACCTCAACGGTGACGGCAGCTCCAGTGAAGGCGAAGGACGTCCATGACATACTTCTGCCTGGTTGTGTTCGGGATATCTGCTTACTTCGTTGGTCAGATTTGCTGATGTAAACAAATAATTGGTGTTGGTGTCCGCTTTGAGAGATGGATACGTCGAACTTGTCTGATGAGCGGATTCCTTGAGGAGAAGGGTATACTATAACATTGGAAGAAACATATTGAAGCAGGGTGAACAGCAGCAAGAAGAGAATCCGAGCGTCCATCATCACCTGCCTGATTGCACGTCGACACATAGAGTTAGAGTTCCAGTTTTGTTCTATATAAAATGTGTGCTGTAACGGGCATGTCTTAGATAACACGTGTAAGTAGTTCATGTCGAGGTCATCTGACAACCTAAGAGATAAGGACCGTCTCCGTGGTCTAATGGTAGAGCGTCCGCCCGGACAGCGGAAGGTCCGCGGTTCGATCCCCAGTCGCGTCATGCCAAAAGACGTTAAAAGATGGTACTTGTTGTTACCCTGTCTGGCGCTCGACATTAAGGGGCTTAAACAAGGACTGGTCGGCTCGGAGTCAGTATACTGTGTCTAAGTGGGGTATTCATATTAAACTGCGGCATGGTATCTCAGTGTGCTAGCACTATAAATCGGCATCAGTCCGGACTAGTACAAGCAGCCACACACACACACACACACACACACACACACATACACGTGCATGCACGTCGCTATATAAGTGCTATAATCTTTGACGCGACGTTAAACCCCATTTCACCTCACCTCACCTCACCTAAGAGATAAACATTAACCATATGTATTTTGGTGATCGCAGTTTTAACACCGTTTGGCACTCGTGTAAGCTAACTGACTGTAATTGTATTTTGACGGACTGAGTTGGGTTTAACTCAGTTTCAAACATTATTTCAGTAATAGTTAGCAATATTTTGTCGTAGTCGGTGACCACTTTGGTGAAACCCACGAGAACGAATATGGTGCTGACAAGCGCGAAATATATTAAGGGCGAATTTGGAATTCGCATATTTGAACTCTGCCAACGGTGATGAGGATATCGTTGGCGGTAATAATACTCCACTTAGTCAAGTACACTGTGACGAATAGTCATGTTGAATGATCATCGCTGCCAAACAGATCTTTAGACACCTTTAACGTCAATACTGGCGCTCTTTTTCAACATCAAAGAATGAATAATATTATTCTAATTTGCTGTTTTCTGTTACACATTATTACCTTCTAAATGTTGTGATATACTAACTATTATTCTGAAATTATAGTGTAATCTTCGGCAATCGGAAGACAATCTTTGTTTGTTTGTTTGTTTGTTTGTTGTTTAACGCCACACTCCGCAATATTACAGCTATATGACGGCGGTCTGTAAATAATCGAGTCTGGACCACACAATCCAGTGATTGATATCATGCGCATCGATCTACGCAGTTGGGATACGATGTATCAACAAAGTCAGGGAGCCTACTCACCCGATCCCGTTAGTCGCCTCTTACGACAAGCATAGTCGCCTCTTATGACAAGCCTGGGATGCTGACAATGATGAGACAGACAATTCGGTCATAACTCGGAATTATCATTAATCTTAATACATAAAGTTATACCAAACAAATGTACGTTCAGTGCATCATCGTTTGCGTGGATGAACCTGTCTTCAACTGCGCCATCATGGCCGATGCCAACGTCAGCGTTGTACGTCCATGCTCCGACCATTTTGACGTTTCTGACGGTAGCATGATCGCTATAGCCTCTCCAGAAAAAAATGCTCTGGAACTGTCAGTGTGATGCCCTCGAACGTTTGATGTGAGTATCGTGTATCATGGACCCCTTGTCCATAACAACTAGAGCCCACTGGAATCGCTCATCTCAGAGACCATATACCGATCGGTATATGGTCTCTGCTATCTTTCATCAGTGCTTCCAGAGATGACGCCACGACCATGTATCTTCTCGGAGCCGCCGGATGTCCGGAACCCGACGTCGATGTAGGCCCCGGGGGCCAAGGAACCCTCTTACATTATGGTCCAGCTCATTTTGTCCATGGAAACTGTACATCCCTATCCCATATTACAAGACAGAGTTGTCGTTCTTGTTTCCGGGGCGTCTGCAAAGATTAAGAATTTATCGGCGTGGTTGCTGCCGTAGTTGTAGTCAAATTGTACCGACATCATCTTTGTGTTTTGATGAATTACCACTCCAGCCGTCCTGTTTCCTGCCTTCCTACACTGTCTTCCTAATTGTAGCTCTCTGGTCGAACAATGCGGCTGTGGAAATCCATCTGGGTATAGTATGGATCTCACCAGTAACGAGGTTGCCATCGAAGGAAAAAGACGTCCATGACATCGACCTATCGGGCTTGGCGGAACTGTTCTCCTTCCTCTTGGGTCCTTTTCTATTATTTCCCCCTTGACCCAAATACAGCGCTCGTCAAACCTGTCAGAAGCATGCAGCCCGTGAGGTGGAGGTTCCCCACAACGCTGTTGGCCACACCCACTGTCAACACACATGTCAACAACGCATGTATTGATGTAGTAGTCTCAAAAACTGAAAAGCACCGGACAAATGTATATAACTTGTGTATGGGTAATTATAGCTAGCCGTTATCAATTTATTTCTCTCAAAATGTTGGAAAATAAAACAGCTGCTTTTGTTGTACGTAACCAATGCGTAACATACACATACCTTTACATCTGAAAGACATGAACTTTAACTCGAGTCAGCATTGAAACTACTTGCTCATTACAGCATCACTGTATCGTAATTATAACATCAGAGAAACTATAATACGATAGGGTCAAGAATGAAATGAATATACTTACCCATACGGGAAGTCGGAAAAGGTTATTAAATGTTCTGTATAAGTTCTTGGGAATTCCAGTGTTTCTATAAATAATTCGGCATTTCATTGGTCGCCGGTACTTCTTTTCATTCTTTCGTAATTTCAGTCTACCATCCACGTGCAGATATGTAATCAGACATCGCATTATTTTGAATTCTGATTCCGAATATACAACAGCGACTTGATAAATAGTCTCTGTCATCCACCAATCCTTCATCCAGCGGCGGTATGCATATCTGGCATCAGCTTGTTCATATTCGAAATCTTGTAATTTGGCGTTACGTCAACACGTGTGACCCACCTCAACTGACATTCTGGCACTGGCCGATGATGACTTATTAAATTGCAAACTTGCATTTGTTAAAGTCAGTGAATTAAATGCAATAACGCGTTTTCTAAAAGTGTAAGTGATACAAATATTCTAAATTTAAATGGTAACAGCGGGCTACGTTACACAATCCGATTTACCATGAAAAGGTCGCTTGTTTACCGTTGAGGAGGGATACATTTGTTTTGAGTTAGAGCCGCTTAAAAATTCGAAGGTGGTAAGGGATAGGACATAGAGACGTTTTCAGTTAATTTGATTATGGGTAAGAAAGAGAATGAGAACTCGAAACTCAGAATTATGGTTTAGCATTGCCTCGTAGCTCGTTAGTTATTCCTGTTGTAATATTACATTGTAAACGTATTGAAAATCGCCTAACTGAACTCGAAAGCATGATTTATTTTAAGAATTTTGGAGCGGAAATATGAATTCTGAACACTTCAACGCATGCATTATACCTGTGTTCAAAAGCGACGTTAATCCCTTCTCACTCGCTACATGCCGCAATGACGTTATATTTCTGAGAGGCCGCAATGACATTGAATATAGTTGTGAAAGTCCCCGATGACATTCTTTGTAGTTGTGACAGGCCGCAATATCATTGTATAGTTGTGACAGGCCCCTATGACATTGTTTAGTTGTGACTGGCCCCTATGACATTATATAGTTGTGACAGGCGTGACAGGCCGCAATAGCATTGTATAGTTGTGACAGGCCCCTATGACATTATATAGTTGTGACAGGCGTGACAGGCCGCAATAGCATTGTATAGTTGTGACAGGTCCCTATGACATTGTTTAGTTGTGACTGGCCCCTTTGACATTATATAGTTGTGACAGGCGTGACAGGCCGCAATAGCATTGTATAGTTGTGACAGGCCCCTATGACACTGTATAGTTGTGACAGGCCCCTATGACACTGTATAGTTGTGACAGGCCGCAATAACACTGTATAGTTGTGACAGGCCGCAATGATATTGTATAGTTGTGACAGGCCGCAATAACACTGTATAGTTGTGACAGGCCGCAAAAACACTGTATAGTTGTGACAGGCCGCAATAACACAATAACACTGTATAGTTGTGACAGGCCGCAATAACACTGTATAGTTGTGACAGGCCGCAATGATATTGTATAGTTGTGACAGGCCGCAATAACACAATAACACTGTAAGGTTGTGACAGGCCGCAATGATATTGTATAGTTGTGACAGGCCGCAATAACACTGTATAGTTGTGACAGGCCGCAAAAACACTGTATAGTTGTGACAGGCCGCAATAACACAATAACACTGTATATTTGTGACAGGCCGCAATAACACTGTATAGTTGTGACAGGCCCCTATGACACTGTATAGTTGTGACAGGCCCCTATGACAGTGTATAGTTGTGACAGGCCGCAATAACATTATATAGTTGTGACAGGCCCCTATGACATTGTATAGTTGTGACAGGCCGCAATGACATTTTATAGTTGTGACAGGCCGCAATAACATTATATAGCTGTGACAGGCCGCAATATCATTGTATAGTTGTTACAGGCCGCAATTACACTGTATAGTTGTGACAGGCCGCAATGATATTGTATAGTTGTGACAGGCCGCAATAACACTTTATAGTTGTGACAGGCCACAATAACACTGTATAGTTGTGACAGGCCGCAATGATATTGTATAGTTGTGACAGGCCGCAATAACACTGTATAGTTGTGACAGGCCGCAATAACACTGTATAGTTGTGACAGGCCGCAATAACACAATAACACTGTATAGTTGTGACAGGCCGCAATAACACTGTATAGTTGTGACAGGCCCCTATGACACTGTATTGTTGTGACAGGCCGCAATAACACTGTATAGTTGTGACAGGCCGCAATAACACTGTATAGTTGTGACAGGCCGCAATAACACTGTATAGTTGTGACAGGCCGCAATAACACTGTATAGTTGTGACAGGCCGCAAAAACACTGTATAGTTGTGACAGGCCGCAATAACACTGTATAGTTGTGACAGGCCGCAATAACACTGTATAGTTGTGACAGGCCCCTATGACATTGAATAGTTGTGACAGGCCGTAATGACAATGTATAGTTGTGACAGGCCGCAATAACACTGTATAGTTGTGACAGGCCGCAATAACACTGTATAGTTGTGACAGGCCGCAATGACAATGTATAGTTGTGACAGGCCGCAATAACACTGTATAGTTGTGACAGGCCGCAATAACACTGTATAGTTGTGACAGGCCGCAATAACACTGTATAGTTGTGACAGGCCCCTATGACATTGAATAGTTGGGACAGGCCGCAATGACATTGTATAGTTGTCACAGGCCGCAATAACACTGTATAGTTGTGACAGGCCGCAATGACATTGTATAGTTGTGACAGGCCGCAATGACATTATATAGTTGTGACAGGCCGCAATGACATTGTATAGTTCTGACAGGCCCCAGTCAAGTCTATGGAAATGTTTCAGCAGCAGGTGTCAGTATAGTCTAACACGTACAAACAAAAGCTTTGACCTCCTGGTTTGTCATGCATCACAGTATTTCATATTTAACTTATGTTTCCCAATATTATGCACATACAAAATTCTGTATAAGTGAAATAAAATATAATTTAGTTATGATCGATTTAATAGCAACCACACTAACATCTATTATTTTAATCGTCACAGATTCAACCTGCAATCAAACAACAAGTATACTGCCGCAGTGGCGCCACATCTACTGTGTGTACAAGGGAGTCATACTGTACGACAAGGTAACCAGTAGGTCGCATTTAGTTTAACTGGTGTATAGTTCTATCTGTAAAACCACAACAAACACCGGCGTCATACAGTTGTTAGAAGGAATATACCATATACACGCCTGAATCTGAGAAAATATCAAAACTCAACAAGAAAAGTGGCAATCGCTAATTTGGTATAAGTGTGACCCCAGCAGCCGCGAATGGTGTTAAACTTGTTGATGACGATATTTGCTCTTTTTGTTTATCTTCAAGCGAAAAAGTATGTTCTATGTCTATACAGTATGTGATGTTATTAATAGTTTCTGGAGGAACTGAAACAACAACTGGATTATGCAGTACATTTGATATAAGTTTCATGTTACTGAATTTTCCATTCTGTTTGGGTTTCAAGAAGATATGAAATAACGTAATCACTTATTACTTTTAGCAAACAAAATATATTCATTTATCAAGTATTAACGCTTCAATAGGTATCTATCATTCGTATACAAAGTCGAAATATCTGTTGCAATTATAAGAAATAGATATATTATTTACTTACAGAAATGGAAACCGCAGATAACATTTTATAATATAGATGTATTAACAGTAATACAATGCGAGTCACACACAACAACGGTATAAGGATCTATAGGGAAACGTCGCATCATAAGATAATAAAGGAATTGTCACCCAGAACAGTTCTTGCCGTTACTTTTACTAACCAACTTCTAAAAATGCCAATCAAACTGTTTATTGAAACATAGGTTTATTTAATGTCTATTGTCCATTTAAAGCTGTTATATTTGTTTTAAAAAAACGCCATGTACTTTGCATTGTATTTTAAATGTTACATAGTAAGAGGCGACTAACGGGATCGGGTGGTCAGGCTCACAGGCCAATGGCGTGGATCAATACTCATGTCTATCACTGGATTGTCTGGTCTGGTCCAGACTCGATTATTTACAGACCGCCATCATATAGCTGGAATATTGCTGAGTGCGGCGTTAAACAACAAACAAACAGACAAACAAACATTTGGGAAAGGAAAAAGGAAAAAGAAACCACTAAACGATCAACTTATGTCTCAGAATATCACCAAACTGACGCGCACGTAAAATATCTAAATTCGACCATACATTCAAAGTAAACCATTGTTTTCTTTTACTAAAATAATGCCAGCCTAAACACACTGAAAATATTGATATTATGATAAAAATAGTAATGGTGGGGAGGAGAAGTGTTATAATTGCATTTTATGTTTCAATATTTGCTTACATTTCCTACTTGTCTGAATGGATAGATGAATTTCCATCCTGACACTCCACATATCTAACACAATACTTCATGAATCTTTTTATTGCTTTTTGTTTAAAATTCGGACTCGTATTGTTGTTTTAAAATTGTTGTATTAAACTAAATTAACCATGTGCAACACTAATGCGAAGGCACTCTATATACAGATTTGATGTCATTGTCTCATTAACATGTTTCATTCACAAATAACGAGAATGCTCTCAACATTTGTAACAATATATATACATAAAATATAAAATGCCTCACCTACATTTGTTCGTCCGTCTGTCCGTTCATTCATTTATTCATTCATTTTGTTCATCACAAAGTTATTAACGTATGAGAGCGTTGTATGAAACATCGGCAGCGAAAGGAGCCGAGTGTTCTCGAATATGAGCTTCCTATCGATTCGAGATTTGCCGGTCGCTGTGGAGTATTCCGATTGTATTTGCCATGCGTACTGCGCACTTCCGGGGAGGTACTTCCGGATATGACTGCCATGTGGTCGTTGTTTTGATTGTTGACATTCGTATCAGGCGCTTGGCAAGTCATTTCTTATCATGGGAAGAAAAAGAAAGGTACTACCTTACAAATGTTTTGTAAAATTGAAATAAGATAAACTTGTACCGGACAAAAACCGTGGTGATTGCCGGGCATGCCTGTTGAACGTACCGTCACTCAGTTGTTATCCAGCTGTACTACATCGAGCTGTAAATAATATATCTCTTCTTTTTTTACATATAGAAGATGTAGTATCAATGAAGGCAGGGCTGAATTAACATTTGAACTATTTTTTCAATGCGATGTTTCGGTACAGGTGTTTGCACCTGAAAGGTAGCACCTGTATCGAAACGCCTCCTTTGATAATGATAGTATCAACAAGCAGTAGCACCTGTACTGAGAATGGAACCAGTACCAGTGGTCAATAGCACTAGCAACGAACCGCGACATCACCGACATCAGGCTATAATGACAAACAAACATCAGCCAGAACACACCAGCTGATCACTCGATTCTTACAAGCTTCTTGTATTGTACTGGGGCCAGGTAGCGAGTCTGACAGCAATTACAGCCCTTCTATTGATAATTAGGGCTAATCCCACGCCTACTAAAATCTGTTTAAAGAGTGAGCGAGTATTGTTTTACGCCACTTTTAGCAATATCACAGCATGGGACACCAGAAAATGGTTTTCACACATCGTACCCTCCACATAAAGAATGTATCATGATGTATTGTACATGTTAACTAGTTGCTATATGCCTGAAATAATGTCGATGCAATGTTAAAATTTTAACTCACTCACATGTTATCGATATCACAATATCGATATGTATCCATAAACTTTTAATATAATGCTAAAGTAAATGTCAACCTAATGCCCATCCTCCCATCTCAAGTTCATCAACAGCCCTGCATTTTGTCTTATGTGTAGATTAGTTTGTGACAGTAAAATATGTACAATGATACATTTTGATTGCCATCATTACTATGCCTAAAAACACAAGATCCCAGGAACAATGTGTACATGAATTGCATTAAACATGTTAAACATATATTAAAGCTTGTAATTCGTATCTTCTATTTTGCAGCACGGTAGTTCACGGAAGACACAAGCGATTCATGAAGAGACCCAAGATGCAGTTTTTAAAACTGCTCCTCACTCCTTCGTGTTTCACAGAGGGAAGGTGGGGGTGACAGTGAGAACATTGATACAAAACCTGAGGCAAGTCATGGAGCCCTATACAGCCAGAAAACTTCAGGTGAGTCCGGTTTGTAGGAATTAATAAAGCATGGTTGATTAGGTCAGTTAATGAACTATTCTTCTTTTCTTTTCTTTTCTTTTTAGAAGCCATATCATTGTGGCCATGATTTTAGATATTATGTGAGGTTATCACTTATCAGTGTTACAGTGATGGATTTACTAGCCGTGACTTTTTTGCATATCTTAGTGAACATATTTTCTTCTTTTTCACTTCATTTTTTATAATATGGGTTGTGGAAATAAAACGTTCATTTGACCAACAAATTGTCTGGGTGTAAATGGTGGAATCCTGGGCGTCGTTGTACAAAACAACCATAGCACTACACAGGGGCGGTCGGGTAGCCTAGTGGGTAAAGCATTCACTCGTCACGCCGAAGACCCGGGTTCGATTCCCCACATGGGTACAATGTGTTAAGGCCATTTCTGGTTTCCCCCACCATGATATTGCTGGAATATTGCTAAAGGCGGCGTAAAACACAACTCACTCACTTAGCACTACAACTGTCAAGTCTATGTTAAAGCATAGGAGTTACGCTACGAACATGCGTCTACAGCTAGCTTTTCATTTTGAACGTGCTTTGAAATGCCTTTTTTTTTAAATACTCTTTATACACATGATGTTTAGATAATGTACATATTGAGACATGAAAAATGTTAAAAGTGTACCAGTAAGCTTTAGCAAGGGCAAAATATATGTATCAACATAGCCTGCCTTGGTCTTTTTGTAATAGTTTTCTGAAAAATCGATGGCACTTATGGGTAGAATAGATTGAACTCATGTATTTCTATATTTCTAAGTAATTTGATCCACTTCATATTAACAAACACAATATATTGTTCAGTTTTATATATCTTTGAACCCTAATATGCATGAAATTTTACCGCAATTATGGGAGGGAGACAGTGTCACAACAGCTTGGCAACCATGTGGCCTGAATAGGCAACTGTGAAAAGACCATCATTTTCAAATTCAGTATTTAAGGGAGGTAATTGCATAATTGTCAAAAACATGGTGTAAGTTGTAAAACAGGCAATTAATTGAAATCAATATTGTACATATTGTTTTAAACATGCCTGTGTTGATTGAACATTTGGGGAAAATTATTTTATTGTAATTTAGTTTGTTTGCCATTTCAATAAAGACAGGGGGGCACGGGTGGCCCAGTCGTCAAAGGCGCTGCAATTCGCTGTGCAGTGTTGCGGTTCCTTGGGTATGCCAGAAACCTATGATTGTGGGTTCGAATCCCAATTCACCCTAGTTTGGTCTCTAGGTTAACAGCATCTTACCCATGCTCATGGGTTCAACCAAAGTGGTCCACGTTTAAGACCTGCATCACTTCGGACTTTCCTCCCACGTTACGCTGACACGCTGTGATATAACTGAAATACTGTTAAAAGCGACATTAAACACAACCAACTCACTCAATAAAGACATGATAAGTTTTTGGTGCCGTGTTGATGTGTCACATTCAAGTTTATGATTATATGTCTGCTAACGAAATCCAGGCATGAACATGATGAACATACTAAAAGTTTCCAGCATTTTTAAAAAATGTTTCTCTGATGATCTTATCCTCATAAGATCTTACAATACAATTTCATTAATCAGTGATTAAAAATTAGTAATAATTTTTGTTGCAGGTTCGTAAGAACAACGTTTTGAAGGACTTTGTGAATGTGGCTGGTTTGTTGAACATTTCTCACTTTCTAATTCTCTCCAAAACGGACAAATATATCCAGCTGAGAATTGGTCGGGTTCCGAGGGGCCCCACATTGACATTTCAAGTGAGAGAGTTCTGTTTGAGCAAGGATGTGTTATCTGCGCAGAAGAAGCCAGATTTAAGTGGGAAAGTGTTCGACCATCATCCGCTGTTAGTGATGAATGGATTCACAGGCAATGAGAAAAGCATCCAGCTCATAACAACGATGTTCCAGAATATGTTCCCTTCCATCAATGTTAATAAGGTATTGGCATTTTGATTCAATGTTTCTTGATAATTCAGATGGGTCGGGGACTTTTGAAAGAGCGCAGGGAGGGTAGTGATTCAACATGTGTTCAAGTCACAGATATGGAGTCACTGAACCAGTTCTCAACATGCTCAATTCTTCAATTTTGCCACAAATTGAAACTGAATAAACATGCCAGTCAAGCTACAAACTCCAACATGACCAAGGGCTAGTGACATTAGCGTTACACTAGTCCTCTGGACTAGTCTTAAAAGAGACAAATGTCTAAGACTGAGGCTTCTTTTTATCATGTTAATCAAACTCATGACACAAGCATGTTCAACTCACCCTGTTGCATATCATGATAAGGACTTCCTTCGTTCTGTTAAAAGGTATTTATGGCAATGCTTAGGAAAAGAGCTTTTGCATTTTAAGATAAAGCTGTAGTATTGCATTGTTAAAAAAACAAACATTCTGTACTAAGTTTGTGATAAGAGACAAGACAAAAAGTGTCACTTTCGAAACAAAGCTTAAGTGGTCAGTTAGTCTGGGATATTCCTGATAGAATGAAGATATGACACACTGCACATTCCCCAATTGTGGACTAGTATAAAACGTTATTAAAACCCTCACTTGTTCACAATTTAAACATTCAGGTGTTAATATAATTATTGTTATGTCATGGCTGTCAATTCTCTTGGCTTTAACTCATGTTAACAGCAGATTCATGTTGGTTGTCTAGATAAGCATGATAGCTCTCCTCTCATCTTTTGGCAATTTGAAAGAAAACAGTTTAGATGTATACATTAAATTGTATTATTGCTTTACCATCGTTACTGTTTACACAACGAGTAAGTTTATTTTTAAAGCAGTCAGTACCATGTTATTCGGATTTGTAAACAAGAAAAGTGAGAGGTGCTTTGACTAGTTGACAGGTCTACATTATACAGTATTTGACGTAATAAGCGCCCAGGGCGCTCTCAAAATTAGGGATAGGGGTCTCTTATTAGAATATAATTTTGGTGAGAAAACAGAGTTGAAAGATCGTAAATATTGTGGTTTATGCTGACAGCCTGGAATGATACAAAAGAAAGGTCTGTGCCAGTCTCATTAAAATCAGACCTTAGTTCTCGCTACCGCTAAACAAAGATCTGAAGAAATCCCATTAGGGGTCACGTCAGAACGACCTTTTATCCGACCAATCAGTGCATCGCTTACCAGATTATGAAAGTGACAGTTGGAATGTGAGTTCTAATCATGCAATGTCGAAAACTTTAACATGGGGTATTCCGAACGATAGTTATGGGTTTAACGACTGAATCCTTACAATCTAGACCATCTATTAGCCATTCCAGAATGTTTTTTTGTTCAGGTTTCAAATTTATAATCTAGAATTTGTCAAAATATGTCTCGAAGCTTAGTCACCAATTTGAAATTTGTGCCGTAAAGCACGAGAAAGCTGCCTTCTGATTGGTCATTCCATTGGTCGGTCAAAGTTCGCGCAAGGTCGGTCTGCATGACCCGTAATGGGATGTCCTCAGATCTTTGTTTAGCTGTAGCGAGAACTAAGATCTGATTTTAATGAAATTGGGTCTGTGCGCATTATGCACAACAAATATATTTTTCCAGAATTTAATTGCCCATAATTAAGGGTGCATATAACGCACGAGTGCGTATTATACACGAATAAATAAGTCTTGTGTACATTGATCAATCAGAAGGGGTGCTAATTGGGATTGTTCACTATCCAATATATTAGCAAATATCGCTGTGGGTGCTTAATAGAGCGGGGCACTTATTATGTCGATTATATGGTATATACAGATGTATGTATTTGTATCATGTTTACGTCTCTCCATGTATACTGATCATCATAATCATGGTATTGACAATGCGTCAGCTAGGACTTTCAGCGGTTTAGTTTGCAATGCCATTCAGTTTTGAGTCAAAGGGTTGGCAGAGCTAACCCAGTCAGTGTATACATGCTTCAATATTATGATTCAGTTATTTGATTGTCATTCATGTGTGATGCAGGTAAATTTGAATCACATCAAGAGGTGTGTGTTGGTGAGCTACGACCCTGAGACAAAACTCATCGATTTCCGGCACTAGTAAGTACCATAGTTCTAGCATGACTAGTATAATTTGAAGGATATTGTTTTCATTAGTATCAGCATCTTGAATCCCTGTAAAAAGTATATTCTTCATCCACATATCTCGATATGCAACAGTCAATATGGTCTAGGTTCACTGAAGAGAACTGTGGATTTAAATCCTAGATTGGCTCAGATAATGGTCGGTTTTTGTCAGCACAAAACACATGTTCCTCGTCTAATATTTACAACCTAAAGTACTTTGGAATTCACCTCACTGATTCATGCCATGAAAACCATGAAATAATTGTGAGAGGTGTAAACTTGTGGGATGAGCCTCAGGTAGATTGTCAGACCAAGCAAGTGTATTTCAAGCCTCAGTTATTTCCCACAAGACACCAGTTATTTCCCACAAGACACCAGTTATTTCCCACAGGTTATAGTTTTTACCCACAAAGCACAAACTACTTCCCACAAGGTACTAGTTATTTCCCACAAGACACCTATTATTTCCCACAAGACACCTGTTATTTCCCATGGGTTATAGTTATTACCCACAAGGCACTAGTTATTTCTCGTCCCGTGAAGATTCCAGGTTAGAATAGGTCTTCAGCAATTCATGCTTGTCATAAGAGGCAACTAACGGGGTCGGGTGGTCAGCCTCGCTGACTTGGTTGATATATGTCATCGTATCCCAATTGCATTGTCAGATGCACATGATGACAATCACTGGATTGTCTGGTCCAGGCTCTATTATTTACAAACCACCGTCATGTTGCTGGAAAATTGCTGAGTGGTGCGTTAAACAACAAACAAGCAAACAAAAGTTATTTTCCCCCAAGCGCTTATTATTTCCCACAAGATACCAGGTATTTCCCACAAAGCACTAGTTATTATAGGGATATAGGAACAGAGTTTGTCCGCCCGTCCGCTTCTCAAAGGGCATCCGCTTCTCAAAGGGGACCAATTTTCTCCCAGGCTATTCAAGTCGGAGAAATGAAATTTGACACACTGATATTACTGGTCATGATCTCACATGAGGTCGAAAATTGGTGTTATGTCCCTTGCTCCATGCTTTTCAACTTAGTCACAAGTTAGTGCATACTGAGTGAAATGGGGACAAGTTTTCTCAAAGAATACTGAAGTTACATAAATGAAAGTTTGCATGCTTATTTAATAGATACTTGTCAAGACTTGAGTTTGAAACTTGGGCCGGGTCAATTAGTGTTTTACAGAGTTACAGCCCTTGTTCCTTGCTTTTCAACTTAGTGCATACACCATGAAATGGGGACATGTTTTTTCAGAAACTATCCATCAAATATTTTTTACAGAGTAACATCCCTTGATCCATGTTATTACTTTGTGCATAGAGTTTGCAATGGGGACAAATTTTCTCAGAAACTACTGAAGTTAGGTTGTCTAAGAGATATCTTTGATATATCAAGACTGAATTATTTTTCCAGAAAAGGGTCACTTTTTTATGTATTAATAGGACTTTTTAGGACCCTTTTTTAGTTTATGTTCACTACTATATGAATTAACAAAATTCTAATGTGCCCCATGGCGTGGAATGGTGATAACATTGTTTGCCACAAGAAATCAATTATTCCCCACTAGGCACTAGTTATTTCCCACAAGGCACTAGTTATTTCCCACAAGGCACTAGTTATTTCCCACAGCATGCACAGACCTCTAGTTATTTCCCACAAAGCAGAAATTAAGCCATCTAGATAGAGACTGGCGATCGGCACCAGACCAGTGACCATAACTCCTCTTTAACAATACTTACTTGATTACCATGGTTACTGTCTCATTCGTTGTTTTAATGACAAGAGTTGTGTGTTTCAACTGTTATCATGATAGTGAAGAATGTTACGCCCTTTGTTCCAGTACCATCAGCCTGGCCCCAGTAGGGTTGACAAAAGGGGTCAAGAAACTGACGAAAACACAGCTTCCAGATCTCAGCAAATACAATGATATCAGTGAATTCATTGAAAGGTATGGGTTAGAGTAACTGTACTTCTTGTGAGAGATCTAAGATTAGAGTTATAAATGTTACAATCATTTGAAAAGATTCTTTGGATTCTGTTTCAAGTCTGTTCCTTCCAGTTGGTGCTCACCTGAACTATCCCAAAAGTGTTAATGATAAAGTTCTTGAAACCATGACAACGAGTGTGATCTGTGGGTTTTTTTTGGAACTGACTTTAGCAGTGCATAATTAAACAATTTTACATAAAATATTGAGTTGAGGGTTCAACTTTCACCATCCCAACAGCAAAGCAAAATTGAGAAGTCATGTCAGATGATGACTACCAAATAGCTTTTCAATTCAATTAATTAAAAGTTGGGAGCTTATAACAAATAAATGGATATTAACTTCTCGGGTGTAGTTTCAGCATCTTGATGTAGGTTTTGAAATATTTGTTGTGTGTATCATAGCACTGGCAATAAAACAATAGTTTCTTAGTTTGCAATGTAACTGTGATTCAGGGGAGGTAACTTGTCTGAGAGTGAGGGTGAACAGGATGGACCACACAATGAAGTAACGCTACCACAGCAGATACACGGCCGCGGGAACCTCAAGGCAGGACAGAGTGCAATCAGGTGGGTGGCAGGCAGAAGACATTTCACCAGCAGAGGCGTATGAAAGACACTAACACCTTTATGTATGTTATGATTTCTTACAAGAAATCTCGGGGGAAAGCTGTGCACTTCATTGCCAGATCTTGATAAGGTGTAAAGTCTGTGCCCGAATCGTCAGCTATGAATGTTGTATTCATACACCACCTATCGACTTCTTTGTTCTCCATTGACTTTGCAAGTGCAAAGTTTAAGTATAAAGCATTCAATAAATGACTATACTCAATATTGTTATCTTGTCTGTTCAGATTGAAGGAGATTGGTCCACGGATGACGCTGGAGCTGGTGAAAATCGAGGAGGGGCTGTGTGAGGGAGCAGTCATCCACCACAGCTTCATCCACAAGACCCCCACAGACCTCCTGGCCGATAAGAAGAAGAAGGAGCTCAAGTTGTACGTCCGAGATTGAACAAGTATATCTAGATTTCCAGGGGAGCAGCATAGCCTAGTGGTTAAAGTGATCACTCGTCACACCAACATGACCAAAGACCTGGGTTTAATTCCACATATGGGTACAGTATTTGAAGCCCATTTCTGGTATTTCCTGTCATGATGTTGCTGGAAGATTGCTAACAAAGGTGTAAGACCCCATTTGCTAAGTCACTATGTATATTACAGGGTTACATGTAAGTATTATTAAGGAATTTTTCCTTTTTGAGGGGTGGGTAGGCCAGAGAATTAGGATTGTGACAAAGAGTTTAAAAGCATGCTATTTTCGTTTTGTTTAGCTCACATGACGTTTCTTAATCCTGTATATTTTCAGTATAGTCCTGCTAGGGTTGAGTATGGAATGAGTCTAAGAAGGGCCTGTTTTTTTAACTCAGGGAGGAGCTTGTGGGGTCTCGTGTCTCATGTAGTGTATTGCTGTTGTGTACATTTTGAGCATGGTGAGGCTGTGGCTTTTCCCTGCTGGCAATGTGACATTGTATTTCAATTGTGACAATTTTACTGTCTTTTTTTAGTAGAATCGGTTCTTTTTTTAGGGGGGACTGTGGTTTAGCTTAGTGGTCAAATTGTTCGCTTGTCATGCCAAGAGCTTGGGTTTGATTGCCCTTGTGGCTACAATGTGCCAAGCCCAATTCTGTTGTCCCAGCCTTGATATTTTAGGAATAATGCTGAAAGCAGCATAAAATCTCATACTCTCACTCCTTTCACTATGATATGTTTGTTTGTTCGTAAACCTTACTGTGCTTAATATAGGATGCATTATACAGGAGATTATACAGTTTTTATCAAATGGATCTTGACCTTGCAGAAAGTTGAAGCAGTCCCGGCAGACGAAGCAGATGCAGAACGTGAAGAAAAAGGAGAAGCTGAAGGCAGAACACAAACAGCGAAGTCTGGAAGGGATGAAGAGGAAACATGATTCAGAGCAGACGAAGGAATCTGGTGAGAGTTGTCTCCCCTAGTGTGCAAGATCAGTTGGCTCATCTATGTCATTGAGAGTTAAATATTATGAGGTAATGACAAGGGCTTGACTGTAGATATTAATGAGTGTGCCGTGATTGTGTAAATATGCCATTCCTAACACACCTGTTGGGATTACAGGTAAGAATATAGGTCCCCGCGACCTATGATGGTCGTAAGAAGCGTCTAAAGGGTTTCAGGCTAAGTTTGTGTGTTTGTTTAGTTATTGTTTAACGGCACACTCGGCAATATTCAGGCAATGTGACTTGATTGATTGTTTGGTGTTATACAACAAAGATTACATGCAAGGTTATGAAGACAATTGAGAAAACTGCTTGCTTGAATGTATTAGACAATATTATTACACAATGTTTTATAGTAAAAAATATATATACAAAATGAAAGGTTAGAGGCGAATGGCGAGATCACAGAAGCCACAGACTATATAGTTATAAATGCTGATAACATCCTTGATGGTATTTGTAAGATGATAATATGGCAGGATCTGAAATTTAAGAGCATATTTTTGTAATGCAAAGTGAGCTGGCATACATCTCTAACTTGTTTTCCACTTGTTTTATGTTATTGATTATCTCCCTTAGATGATGAGAGCGATGATGATATTGCTCATTACCGGAGAGAGGTTGGAGCCAATCCTGACAAAGGTGGGTTTAACTTTACTGCATTGTCAAATATTGTCAGCTATTCATTTCAGTTCGTGCATTGGTTTCCATAAGATTACAGATCTCACTGTTTGATCTCAGTGCCCAATTAATCTTCTTCCAGGCAGATTTCTTTGTTCATCCTAAGTTTTTAGAGATAATGGTTTAGATACACTGGGCTTGTCATCAGGCAAACAGTTGGTCCAGTGGTTTTGAATTATCTCCCTTATTCAGGCGAGGATCTGATTGTCTTAGGGTCCTGAATATTTCTTGTATAGAACTTTTAAAAACCTTATTCAACCACATTTTTTGTTATCTATATTTAATAATTTTTAAAAAAAAACTAAGATGTCCATTTATTCAATTTTAATTAGGCATGGACTGTAAATCTCTTGATGAAATCCACTTTGTATGTCCTTATTATTGTCATCTCAGAAATAAGATTACACCAGAATGCTCTATGTCAGGTTATCCTGTACCTGCTTTTATTTCTCTTGATTCTTCAAAAGATGATGATGTGATATTAAAACTGGTTTTATATTTCTAACATGCTATTTCTCTAAGAAACGAAGGGGCGGTCGGGTAGCCTAGTGGTTAAAGCGTTCACTCGTCATGCCAAAGACCCGGGTTCGATTCCCGACATGGGTACAATGTGTGAAGCCCATTTCTGGTGTCCCCCACCATGATATTGCTGGAATATTGCTAAAAGCGGTGTAAAACCATACTCATTCACTCACTCACTCTAAGAAACAAACTAGACAAATTACGATTTATCAGAATACGTACAACTCTATTCTTATATGTAACTCCTATGTAAATAAGCCGGAGGCCTTAAATGCAATTTACTATGCATTTGCCCTGATTCTGACCCTTAATCTGTCAGGACCATTTTGTGCTCTCAGCATGATTAGTTATCTGTGACTTGCATTGACTTCGGCTTTCCTATCTTAAGCTGACAGGGACAGTATAAGACTAATACTGTTCAAGGCAAAATTAAACCAACTTCACGGTCTGATATGCCCTTCATTTTTCACAATGTCTTAATGTGATTCGCAAACACTTGATTATCATAATCACTATTTGGTTTGACTTGGGGACAGGGTTAAAAGGGAAGGGGAGACTCAAAAGATATAAATTTGAAATTGTTGTCCTAATATTTTGCCTTAGTATACCCAACTACCAACGCAGGCATCCACTCACTCATTCTTGGCTCTGTTGACAGATCTGTTCCCCAGCATGGGTAAAAAGAGGAAGAGGGTTGATGGATCTGATGTTCCCACAAAGAAAGTGAGGAAGAATCCTGGCAAGGAGGACAGCAAGCTGAAGCAGAAGAAACAAGCTCCCCCTGGGTTCAGCAAGAAGCAACAAGTGGCCAAACAGAAGAAGAAGAAGGAGATGCAAAAGAAGATGGGGACGAAGAAAGAGAGTCAGACGGGACGGAAGAAAAACATGATGCCAAGGAAAACAGGATCAGGCGGGAAGACAAGCATGGGGGCTGCGGGGAAGAAAAAAGGGATGCCGAAGAAAATGGGACCCAAGGGAAGCAAGGGGAAGGCTGGCTTCAAACCTAAACGGAAAACTGGAAGATAACCAATTCCATTTGTGGGGAGGGGGGTTGTTAGCTTTTTTTTTTCATGTGAAGATGCAGGGAGAGATATTTAAGGGTTCATTAAGTTTTTGAAATAAGCTCTTCAAATGAAGGAATTGTTAAAAATGTTAACATTAGGGTCCTTTAAGGAGTCAGTTAAAATATATTAGACAACAGTACTTGATCATCTTTCATGCAAAATAATGTTCAAATATACACTGCAGTGTGTATTGTGAGAAATTGAAATAAGAATGAAGGACATATTGTGCCTGACATTTCGGTGTCAGTCTTGTATAATTTGTGACTGAATAAGGGCATTGTATGATCTTCATGACTGTCACTGAGTAATCCCAGATGTGTGACTACACCTGTCATCACTGTCATTGCCTCATAAATTGTTTGATGGAATATATGGATAAGAATAAAGTTTCTATTTGTCACCTCAAAATGCCTGTGTTCGAATCACAACTTGGATATAATGTGTGAAGCCAATTTCTGTCACTGCAGTGACACCCCTTGAATACAAAACTCACTCACTCACTCACTCACTCACTCACTCACTCACTCACATCAGGGCAATCCAGTGGGGTTCCCCAGCAAACTATGCTGGTCGTGAGCACTGACTTAATTAAACGGGTTGTTGCAGCGTATGATTTTTCACGGATAGTGTGGATCGTTGCTCCTAATGTCAATCACTAGATTGTCCTATCCAGACTGGATTTTTTGAAGGGCGCCGTCATATAACTGGACATAAGCCAGCGACTTTAAATTATGCACACACACACGCACAACAACAAACAAGGTAGTCAGTAAAACTGCCCTCATTTATGTCTACTGACCTCGATTCTCAAGTGTATTATGTCTCCAGTCTATGATGATGGTGTTGGCGTGGAGAATCCATAATAAACTGTGACATAGTGTCTCAGTGAGCTAGACCTATAAAACCGGGACTAGTACAAGCAGCGACATACACACATGTATACATGCACACTTGTACCACATTTCAACTGGCCTCAACTAATGCTATTGAATAGAAATGTACGTAAGGCTGCGCAACTCATTCGGTACTGTAGAGATGCGTGCCCATGCCGTGTCAGATCCGCTGATCCTCGCCTCGACTATGGACCTTGGACCCCGATCCCTGTCACGATCCCCCAAATGAAGCTGATCTTACTGAAACACTGTTCAATACCATGTTCACCCTCTTACTTCTGGATCCGTTCCACACCGGGCACCCGACCCAGTGACACACATTCACCTCCACAGGGATTACCTGGATAGAGTGTGATATGATTGATTATGTGAGCTTGAAGTAGAGTTGAGTTACCTGGTGTTGGATTTCCCGAGTGACGACAATGATTCTGTCACCAACCAGCGGGCAGCCCACAGAGATCAGAATGACGTATTTCCCTAACAACGTGGATTCGTGTATTTTCTTCCAAGCACTTAGCGTTGACTTATAAGAATATTTGATTCTGTTTTATCGAAGTCTACAAAACCGAGCTTTCAGGTTGAACGAGATCTCATGTACATATAATGTCTAACACAGAAATCCAACTTTAAGAACTCAAAGTACCTTTAGATTCAGCACATACAAGTGAAGATCCGTGGTAGAATAGATCTTCAGCAAACCATACTTGCCATAAAAGGCGACTATGCTCGTCGTAGGAGGCGACTATGCTCGTCGTAGGAGGCGACTAACGGGATCGAGTGGTCTGGCTCGCCGACTTAGTTGATGCATGTCATCGTATTCCGTATATCGTATATCCATCGTATTGCTTAGATCGATGCTCATGATGTCAATCACTGGATTGTCTGGGGTCCAGACTCGATTATTAACACACCGCCGTCATGTAGCTGGAATATTGCTGAGTGCGGCGTTACACAACAAACATCACAAACATCACATACACTGCATACATACGAAAATGTCGTATGTCGAAAAAGCCAATTTACAAGCGCCAATGAACTTTCTAGGGTTTGTATGAGAAAACAATCCACAATCAGAAGGTGTACTAATTTCATGCCATTCAACAAAGCGCGGGGGCACGGGTGGCCCAGTCGTCTGAGGCGCCGCGATTCGCTGTGCAGAGTTGTGTCCCTTGGGCACGCCAGAAACCTATGATTGTGGGTTCGAATCCCGGTTCACCCCGATTATGTTTCTAGGTTTGTCAGCATCATACCCGTGCTCGTGGGTTTCACCGAAGTGGTAAAACGTCGGAGACATGCATCACTTCGGGCTTTCCTGACACGCCGTGATATAACTGGAATACTGTTAAAAGCGGCGTTAAACCCAACTCACTCACTCACTCAACAAAGCGCAACGAAGTGAACTTGTCTGTATTAAGCAGTGTCTTCATGTACTGAATAGTCCCGTTAAATTATTAACCCGGACGTTGAATTCATGAATTCCCACAACCCAAGCTTGTACCGAAAAGCAGAAGGGTATTTTAAGACTTTGAAAACAAAATATACGGCGTCTTGGTCCTTCACTCGGTCTAAAGCCCCAAGTTGTGAAAAACTGAACACCTGATGATGAATGGATGAGGGGGGGATGGCACTAGCATTGTCGGCTACGTGATCAATGAGCAGTCATCTGCCACACAAAGTAACAGCTTTCCTCGGCAATAACAAGTAGTCTCATTAGTGCGGCAAGCTCGCAGTCGAAGAACACAACTACCGGAGCCTACAAATTTGAAATGATCAGTGACCAGTGTGTACCCTTTTTGCTCATTTAATCGCTCAATGTTAGCGTTACATTCATTAATGCAGTCAAATAAAACTAATAAACATATACGAAGCTAATCAATACATATGCTGGTCGTTGAATAAATGAACGTATCGTGAGAAATACGAGTGCCTTATCGACGAGTGTTTATATTTGATATCAAATGACACGAGGGTGAGGTTCTATTTATCATCGAACATTTTCAGTGTGAAAACACAAGAATAAGCGTTAGTGTAAAAAGTACTCTTCAGCATGTTCAGTGGCAAAGCGATTAGTGATGTCATGGTAACGATGACGTACGTTGCAATGATCTGAAAGTATTTTGATGCATTCTTTGCACCGATATATCCGAGATAGACCGCTTGCTCTCACCCAAGCCAGTTTTGGATGATAAATAGAGATTATTATCCGAGCATGTGTGGGATACTGATTTTAGGAAACGAGTGTCAGAATTCTTGTACTTCCCAAGCGAGAGCTAGTGATACACATGTATGGCACGAGTTTACGAACCAGTGTGGCCCATCATGGGTGACCTTACCAAGGTCACGGTTATCAAATCAATTGAATAAAACGAGGCAAACCTTGTACCACACACGCGTGACCTATATAGTACGGATTAAGTATATGACCGCCTGTCTATTCACCCAGTGGGTTATAAATAGGTTTCTAGTACAAGGAAGATATCATATGGCACCAATAACTTAAGGTTTTCAGGTTGTCCATCGAACAATCGCTTTTATAAAGCTGAGGCAAAAAATAACATTTTAGAAAGAAATAATACACTTTTTTTAAAGAAATCCTTTGTCGATTCCTAGCCATAGCATTCATCAATTGCTCTAAACCAACGTGGTATCTCAAAGGCTTGAGTGGGCGAGGCGGGTTTTACTGTTGTTTAACATTCAAATAAGGGAACATTTCAAACTAACGGGCCACTTGCCAATCTTAAACATTGTATCTCTCATTGTGCTGGGTCGGTTTCCCCAAAGGGGATCGTAACTCCCATGCTTTAACACAGGCTTACGACAGTTGTAGCGCTACGGCCGCTTTGTCGAACGGGGCCTAGGTCAGATGGAGCTAGGCAAACAAGTTTAAGGCATTAATACATTGAGGCAAACAAGTTTAAGGCATTAATACTTTCATCTGCATCTACGGCTAGCCACACTTGTGAAGTCACTTGTACCACGTGTACATCGGTGGCACACAAGCAGCTGATCAGCTGGGGTTTTTTCATACTAATCTTCACTAGTAAACATCGTTGTTATCAATACCTCCGTCAAACTAAATTATTCTTCCCCGCCCTTAAGGCGGGGAAGTTTACGGGAAACGATAATTTTGTGGCATGTATGTCGACATGTTGGTTTATTTAAAATTCCAAGCCACGCATTTACGGAAACAAAACATACAAATCAAGTGCGTGGAATGTTGATGCTATTCTTTTCCAGCAATAACATATACTTCAAAATCGTCTTTATGTAGTTAATTGATACATCTGACCGTTTCTGGTCATTGGCTGACATTATTAAACCATTCATGTGTAATCCGATGTCCTTTTTTCCTCAAGGACTAATTTTCTGATTTTCACGGTGTATACAAAAGAAGAACTGTGCTCCGAAGATCGTAAATAACAGCATAATAAAAATTATGTTCTGAATATGCTTATTCATGAACAACGACGACATCGCAATTTAAATGTAATATGGCTGAATTCCATATTCTACATACCACACTTTTGACTGTTTGGATGCTCATGTTCACTGGAAATATTTGGAATAGTTATATTCCGTATTTTGAATTAACCCAGCATCAAGGCTGTAGTATTTTTCAACCGTTTAATGGAATTCAATGTACAGCCGTAGCTCTGGTCACTCATATCTTTTGTGTCCCATGGCTCAAATCTATTTGCGTCTGTACCGTGTTCCACTGACCTCGATAATCTGTTGGATAAAGGCACACCTCTCTACAGTCACATAGTTAACACCGAAGGCTATGAGGGGTATTTAGGTCATAATCATTTCCCAGCAGCCACTGCCTCAATCGATATTGTCTACATAACAGATCAGTTTTATGGCTCCGTCACAGGTGCCCCAAATATTGAAGCAGGGAAAACAAATTTCATAGAATCATTTCAACAAGCAATATTGATATCCCCGTCACTTTTGGTAACTTTTAATGATGACTCCATTGCAATTTTTACGGATTTCGATTCGTATGCATTATTTGAGTCTCATCAGCGGAATGGTTTGGGTCAGATTGATCCGAATGGACAAGCGGTTTAACTTCTGTTTAGTAGTATGGATGAATTGTTATGTTACATCTTAACAGTATATCAGGCGACTATGCTTGTCGTAAGAGGCGACAAACGGGATCGGATGGTCAGGCTTTCGTTGATGCATGGCATCGATCCCAATAGCGTGGATCGATGCTCTTGATATTAGGCACGGGATTGTCTGGTCCAGACTCGATTATTTACAGAACGCCGTCATATAGCTGGAATATTGCTGAGTGCGGCGTTAAACGACAAACCAATCGATCATCATCATATGAACTCAAACCAGTCATTGTTACAAGTAAACCACATTCCACAACAGTTACTGACACTGGATAAAAAAAACAGTACATAGAAAAAAACCAAGTAACTCAACTCATTATTATCACAATTACTATTCTTGGAAAGAAAGAAATACAAAAAAGAAACTGACCAAAAAACGTAAAACAAAAGA